TGTCTGTTCGTAATACCCAGGATTCTCAGAAATCATCTCATTCATGATTTTTTTATTTTATTATTTTTTTTTTCAGTGAGGCATTTGGGGTTAAGTGACTTGCCCAGAGTCACACAGCTAGGAAGTATTATGTGGCTGAGGCCGGATTTGAACTCCTGACTCCAGGGCTGGTGCTCTACCCACTGCACCATCTAGCTACCCCCATTCATAATTTTTTACCGTGCATCTGTATTCTGTTACATTCATATGCAAGTTTGTTCTCTGTCTAAAAGGCAGTGGCAATGTATGGCACCCCTTCCTTTAGATTTGAGTCATTTTCCTTACCCCCTTCCCCACTTTTATTTAGTCAGCTCTTTTGGGATCGGAAAATTTGTTTTGACTTGTGACTATTCCCTCCCCAATATTATCCTCTCTCTTAACCACCCGCTCTCCATCTTGCCTTCTTTCCCTGTTAGGGTTGATGTATTTCTACACCAAACTATGTCTATGTGTATGACTGTTTGGGTGCATGTAACCTTCCTTTCTCCATTTCAGAAGTGAGCTTCCTCTGATGCTTGCTTCTTTCACCCTTTCTTCCATGTTTAGATATTCTTCTTTTCATGCACTGTAGGTAGTTCTGAGGAATCGTAAGCTCCATCCCTTCTTCCCTTATTTTTTACACTAATGTCTTCCTTTTAGTCTTCCTTCTTTTTTCCTCTTTAAGCCCTCAGAATAGATCCAGTCAACCCCAGGATTGATATTTTTCTTGTTTCACCCCCCCTCCCAAATGCCTTTTGAAGTGTCCCTTCAGGGACACACATGTTTCTTCTCTATTGGAGTTTAGTACTGTATCATTATAACAGTGTCTTCCAATTGCTCAAATACATTTACCTTTATAGAGTTCTCTGGACTCTTGTGTTTATATTTCAAAATTCCTACTCAATTTTCATCTCTTCATCAGAAATGCTTAAAAGGCCTCTATTCCATTAAAGGTCTGTTTTTTTAAAAAACATTGAGTCATGATACTCATCTTGGTAGGGTAAGTTATTCTTAATAGTAAACCTCTATCTTTTGCCTTTGGGAATATTCTATTCCAAGCTCTCCTCTTACTTGAAGTTGAAGTTGCCAGCTCTTGTGTGATCCTGACTATCTACTTGGTACTTGAATTTCCGGATAATTGCAGTTTTTTTTTTTCTGTGATATAGGCATTCTGGATTTTGACTATGACATTCTTGGAACTTTTCCTTTTGGAGTTCCTTTCATAAGGTGATTGGTGAATTCTTTCTATTCTCACTTTGCTCTAATAATTCTGAGCAATTGTCATTTATAATTTCTTGAGATATTATATAAAGGTTTTTTTTAAAAAGCATATTTTTTGGAGAGTACAGTGATACTTAAACTATTTCTCCTTCATCTGTTTTCTAGTCTTTGGGGTTAGTTCTAATATTTCTTGCTGTCTCATGTAGTCATTGATTTCTGTTTGATTTATTCTAGTTTTCAGAGATTCCATTACTTTGTTTTCTAAGCTGTTTATTCTCTTAATTCTTCCATCTACAGCTTTAAAAAAATTTATCTCTTGCTTCATTTCTTCCAGGTAGTCATGTAGTCCTTGTGGAAAATCAGTCTCTGCCTGAAGTTGTATTCACCCCTATTTGGGAGAACTGTATGTTTATAATCATTTTCAATACTGGTTGGTGTTTCCTTTGCCTTGTTTCTTCAGCTTTAGTTCCTGATTGGTGCTCATTGCCAGCATCATGGTTCACTCACTGCTCTTGGGTAGGGTGGGGTGCTTGGCCCTCTTTGGGCTCACCCTGAGTCCCCCTTGGTCCTTTTACTGACCTCCACCTCCCAAAGAGCCAGCTCCCCTGGATTGTTGAGGTTCATGACGCTAGATGTTCAGGACCTTCTCAGTTCAGAGTGTGAGGTCACTTGGAGGCTCCCCCCCTCCTAATGTGAGCCCTGCACTGGTCACTGCTGGCTCTCCAGAAGCTTCCAGGCTCCCCAACCCAGGCCTTTCTCAGGGGAACTTTGCTCTCATGCTGTCTTTGGGCACAGAGTCGTGCAGGCTGCTTGTGTCCTGCTTTCAGAGAGGGGTGATGTTGGCACTGGCTGTGTTGAAGGGGCCACCTTTCTTATTTCCCATGGGTTTCTGGCCTTATGATGGCAGAAACTCATTAGATTTAAAAAAAAAATCATTCTTTAGTTGTTTTTTAGCCACCTTCTGCCAGAAAGTTTTATGGCTTTTGATCATTGTGATTGTTTTGGTTCAGAAATTGGAAACACATCTGAATTATCATAGTTGTCTTTTGTAATGAGAGGCAGCAATGATATAGGGGAAAGAATGCTGGATTTGAAGTCAAAGGACCTGGATTTAAATTCCCGTTTTGTCAATGAATCCCTCTTTGACCTCACACAAGACATTTGATCCCCATGGGCTTCAGTATTCTTATCTATAAAACAAGGCAAGTAGACTAGATGCACTCTGAGTTCCTTCCCACTGTAGAGCTGGGATCCTGTAAGTCACTTAACCCACCTGTGCCTCAGTTTCTTCATCTGTAAAAAAAAATCTTTTCTTAAAGACCAGCCTTAACCCCTAGTCACTCTGGCTCTCATTGATTGGCCAACAGTTGGTTCCAGGCAAAGCCCTACTTGGTCATTTTTGGCCAGAAACCCTGAGGGTCTTCCTTCCCGGCTCGATTTTTTTAAAAATAAAAAAAAAAATTTAATTTAATTTAAATTTTTAATTTTTAAAAACTTTTAAAAAAATTTTTTGACTAGGTAAAAAAAATTTTTTGACTAAATTCTCTGCCTCAGTTCTTATCAAGTCTTAATCACTGAATGAGTGTTACCTCAGTCAAACTGAGACCTGTTAAAGACCTTAGCTTGAAAAGGCCAATGTCTTCCACTGCATCCAGGGCCATCTCCAGTCCTCCTGATCTACATCTGGCCACTGGACCCAGATGGCTCTGGAGGAGAAAGTGAGGCTGATGGCTTTGCACAGCCTTGCCTCACTTGAATCCAATTCACTTGCATGTCATGGCATCACCTCCCTGATGTCATGGTCCTCTTTGAAAATGAAGGACAAACAACAACAACAGAATTAGGGGTGGATGGCCTTAGATGTCCCTTCCAGCTCTCTGTGTGACCCTAAGGATTTTGCCCAGTACCCGTATTTTGCAGAATGTAATATGGGTGCAGTGATGTCCTATCTTGAGCCAGCTTGTATCATCACTTGATGACCTAGTAATCAAATCAAGAAAAACCATATGAATGTCAGGGATGGGGTGGGGGAGGTTACAGGGCTGGTGATGAGGGTCCGTGTTACAGATCTGAGGGAAAAGATCATAGCTGGCCACTAAGAAGGAACTTGATAACCCTGAACATGGTCTAACAGTGTAATCGGCTTCATGTCTCACAGTGGGACGGGTTCCCTGACACCCATGTTTCAGACAGAGGCTGTATGACCACTTGCCCAAAAATGAAGAAGGGGTCCATGAATTAGGAGTGATCACAGTCCCACAGTCTCCTAGACCCAGAGCTGGAAGCCACCTGAGAGACTGCTAGTCCAAGTTCATCATTTTACACAGGGGGGGAAACTGAGGCCCTTTTTGGGAGGTTAAAAGATTTCCCCAAGGTTGCACAGAAAGTAAGGAGTAGAGCTGTGCTTTAAACTGGGATTCTTTGGTGCCAAATTAACGCTCTTTTTACTTAGTATTCTGTACCCTGAAGTCCTTTCACACTCTGTGGCATAATGCTTTGAGGATTAAACTCAGAGTCAGGGAGCCCTGGGTCCAAGTTAATTGACTTTGTAACCCTAGGTAAATAATTTCACCTTGGTCGCACCTTCCTCACCTGTAAAATTGTATCTCGGATGAGCTCATGTATTCATTCTTAACCTTGTCTGTGCCCTGGACCCTTGGGCAGTCAGTCTGGTCAAACTTAGGGACCCTTTCAGAAGCATGTTCTTAAGCGCATCATGTAAAATACATAGATTTGCAAAGGAAACCCAAGTATATTGAAATTCAGCCACCAAAATATCAAAAAAAAATCAAATTTCCAAACCCCATGTTAAGAGCTCTTAATAATAGGCCTGGTGGTTTATTATATATATATATATATATATATATAATATATATATATATATATAAAATTCATTCATTCATCCATTTATTTACTTATTCATTCATTCATTTATTTATTTTTGAGGCAATTGGGGTTAGGTGACTTGACCAGGGTCACACAGCTAGTAAGTGTCTGAGGTCAGAATTAAACTCAGGTCCTCCTAACTCCAGGGCTGGGGCTGTATCCACTGTGCCACCTAGCTGGCTTAGTTTTTGCCTTTTAAGCATGAATTAATTAAGTCAGTTATTGTTAGTAGGAGGTGAGGGCTTGGTCAAGCCAGAAGCCTCACATTTCAAATCTGTCCAGGAACCAATCCCAGGGTGTAGAGGCAGCTTGTAGATTTCAGGTCAAAGAAGGAAACTAGCCTCAGTTTCTTCATCTGTAAAATAGGGTCTGGGATGCTTGTAACTATTTTCTTAATGAGGTTGTTGTAAGGAAAGCTTTTTTTTTTTTTTTAAGACTACACCTATCATTTCACGGGTATTTAAGAAACTCCCAGTGAGGAAGCTCCCTGTGCCAATACAGATCTGTACTTCTGCAATTTACAGCCTGAGGAATGGAGAGATTAAGTGACTTGTCCAGGGTCACACAGCCAGGATGTGTCAGAATGGGGCTGCTCTGGACTGAGGCCTGCTCTCTAGGCCTTGTTGTCTCCCAAGAAGATAGAGAACAGGAAATAAATAGATCAGGCCAGAAAAGGAGGGTGGAGTTGGGAGGGGGTGGTGAAGGTAGCCCAATTCCAGGCCTCTCCTGGTAATTGTTGCTGTCATTTCCCTTCCTTTGAAAGCTGGGAGTGTACACTCTCCTTCTGCCAGCATGGCGGCCTCCACCCAGTACCGGCAGTTGATCAACGACTACGGACCCCCATCTCTAGGCTACACCCAGGTAAGGCAGGGGTTCTCCTTCTCTTTCCTTGTGGGCTGTGTCCGAGAGGTGGGAAATAGAGGGATGCAGGGGGTGGGAGGAGGTAGCCACTGTGCTTGGGGGGGATCCTGTTCTGCTTGGAGAGAATGACCACAATATCCTTCTTAAAATAGTCTTGTCCTAGGGGAATACCATAAAGATGGGCATCCCTACTAGCCCCCAAGGGGCCTTGCCACATAGGCAGAGAGGTGGGCATACATAAACATGTACAGCAGAAGGCACACAGGCCCTCAGCCATGCCCAGCAAGCACATGAGGTACACAGTTTGGAACTGAGAGGTGACCAGAGCTGGGTGGCATTAAATAGGGAAAGCTTCTTGGAAGTAGAGAGTTTGGAACAGGGCCTGAAAAGGGGAAGGCGTCCTTGGCCTCATGGTTTTTTCAGAAGCTTACATCTTGTTTCCCTGGGGCCCCCACTTGGTTCCTAGTGGACAGAGGAAGGACTGGGTTGGAATCGTTTATCTGCCCCCAGATCCATGGCTTGGGGTGGCTGGTAATGGGCCTATCTCCACGTTGGCCAAGATGGCAGCAGAGAATGTTGGGTTATTAACAAAAGACCAGAGGCCTTCCCTTCCCATCTGGCCCAAGTAGCTATAGGCTTCAAAAGTGACTCTAGCACAGATTTTTCCAGTTCATGCTGGAGGTCGGAGACTTGGGGACAGTGGCAGGGACCAAGACAGGTGTTTCCAACTGGCACCATTCCTCTAAGGCAGCTAAGGAGAACGAAGTCCTGGAATGCCTGTGTGTGGGCCTTCTGGCCCCTTTGGATAGACTGGGGAGAAGGAAGACCAGTACTTTGTCTGGTCTAATCAAACAGGAAGGGGGGCTGTTGGGGCCCTAATTCTAATACCCTCTTCCAAGATTGGGAGCCAGGTGCCCACACCCCCACCATCAGCTGCAGCTAGGTCCCCAAGCCCTAGAGGGGCAGAATAGGATTCCAAGGCAGGGACATTGTTACATATCCAGCCATTCAGAGGTGGGGTGATTGTTCCTCGGAACACAGAAGCCCATGGCCTGATGGGGTCAGAGCTCCCCTCCTCATGCCCCGCCAAGCCTTCTTGTCCCAGGAGGAGAAGCAAGCAAGGGCTAGGGAGCGGGACCGTCTCAAAAAGCGTCGAAGACGGGAGGACAGCCTGAAAAGGAGTCTGGAGAGGCAGAGGAATGCAGAGGCCATGAAGCGCCGGCGGGAAGATGAGAAGCAAAGGGAGAAGGAACGTAGGAAAGACCGAGAGGCCAAGAGGAGGCGCAGGGAGAATGTGCAGGAAAGGGAGAAGGAGCAGAAGAAAGACCGTGAAGCCAAGAAGAGGCGGAGGAGGGAGAAGAAAGAAGAGAGGGAGAAAGCACTCTACCAAGATATGGCTGCCCTGACGCAGCTGTGGGAAAGGGGGGAGGATGAGGAGGAGGAGGAAGAGGAAGGAGAGGAGGAGGAGGAGGAGGAGGAGAAAGTGGAGGAAAGGGAAGAAAGAGAAAGGAGAGAGAAAGAACAGACATCTGTGTTCCTGGGAACGCCAGCTTCATTGATCTGGGTGCTTGCCTTGCGGTACTCTTTGTAATTGTCAGGAAAAAAAAAGGTTTATTTTTTGGAAGAGCATCATGGAGGCACAGAGATAGGATGAATAAAAATGCCTTCCACTGTCCGTCTGTCATTTAAAAAAAAAGCTCTAGCCAATTTAGAGCCCAGTTCTTCCCCTCGGCTTTGGTCACAGATCTCTAATGTGTGGGGGCTTTCCCTAGCTCCTGGGGCCCGAGAGGTTGCTCCCTGTAGCACGCAGAACTGTGCCCCTGGCAGAGCTGTATTCTTACTAACTTATGCCGGGGGGATGTAGGCACCGAGAGGTTTGGAACTTTGCTCAGGCCTGGAATCCTTCTCCTGTCTCAGAGATCCCAAAGGGTAGATTGGTATAGATGTGGAAGGGACCGGGCAGGCCCACAAGTCCCCACCCTCATTTTACAGGTGAGGGAAGCACTTGCCTGAAGTCACATGGGTAACTAATGACAAGCAGGACTGGAGGCCTGGTGCTGGGCCAGGCTGCCTTCCCAACTCCCACTTCTCAGGTTTCCCTTTCTCAAGGCCAGGCTGGTTTCCCATCATGGCCTTCCCACCCAGAGCTCCCTGTTATGCTGCTGCCTGGGCAGGAGGGCGTACGGGGGTGTGATCGGGGGCGCCCCATCCCTTGCTCTCGGATATTGTCCCATCTTTGGCAGCTGCCAGGACACAACCCAGCTGGTGGCCCAGGCTGGCTGCAGGTGAGGTCTCTGGCTCTGGATTTCTCCAGTCATCCTAATGAACTTCTCTCTGACTGTAGGGCACAGGGAGCAGCCAGGTACCCCAAAGCAAATATGCAGAACTCCTGGCTATCATCGAAGAACTAGGCAAAGAGATCAGACCCACGTATGCAGGGAGCAAAAGCGCCATGGAGAGGCTAAAGCGAGGTACGTGTTGGGTGGGCTTTGGGCACAGCCCCAGAGGGTGGGGCTTATTTGAGGGCATTTAGAATATCAAATATACAGGCCAGAAGGAATATAAGACCAGAGCCCCACAGCTGGAGGGAAACTCAGACCAATCCCCTTTCTTTAGAGATGAGGAAACTGAGGCACAGGCAGATGAAGTGATTGCGCAGGGTCACGTGGGTGATAGAGCTGGGATTAAAATACGGGTCCTCTTGTTTTCAGCTTCGAAAACGGAATTCATCACTGGCCATGGGCTGCATGGAGCAGCCATGGAAGGGAAGACCCGTTCTCCATTAACCAGTGAGAATCCTAGTATCATAGTGCTAGAACTGGAAAGGATCTTAGAAGGGGAGGCAATCTGACCCAGTGAATAGAGTACCAGCCTTGGATTTGAGAAGACCCAGGCCTGAATCCTGCCTGCGACACGGATTAGCTGTATGACCTTGGGCAAGTTATTTCACCTGACTCAGCCTCAGTTGCCTCATCTGTAAAATGGGAATAATGATGGCACCTATCTCTCAGGGTTGTTGTGAGGACCAGATGAGGTCATATTTGTAAAGGGCTGTTTGTTTCTGTTGGGGCAGCTAGGTGGCATAGTAGATAGAGTGCCAGGCCTGGAGTCAGGAAGATTTGAGTTCAAATCCTGCCTCAGAGACTTCCTACCTGTGTGACCCTGGGCGAGTCACTGAACCCTGTTGGCCTCAGTTTCCTCATCTGTTAAAATGAGCTGGAGAAGGAAATGGCAAACCACTCCAGTATCTCTGCCAAGAAAACCTCAAATGGGGTCACAAGTCAGACACAACTGAAAAACAACAGTAAGTAGGATCAGATGAGATCATATTTGTAAGACTTAGCAGACCTTAAAAAACTGTTGAAATGGGAGATATTATTAGTCTAGCTTCAGTTCCAAGTGTGGAGGCCCCTTCTGCCATCACAGATTGGCACCTGCTCTTAAAATGATTCGATGGATGAGGCAAAGAAAGGGCCAGTGATTTGCCTGAGGTTACACGGGCAGTCAGCAGAAGAGCTGGGATTTGGATTCCAGTTTGGCTCCCAGTGGTCCCTCAGTGAAGTGGCAGGATGATTCGGAGGCTGCCTCTCAGTCTCACTGCTGCCTTGGGCACATGGGGCCGTGCAGTGCCAAGCTTAACGCTTTCTCCCCAGCAAAATGCCCTGCGTAAGGGGAATTTTTAGGTCTCTCTGGAGTCCATCTGGTTTTTGCCATGGAAGCTTAGCCCCAGCTTGCCTGTGGTTCATTTAGTTGACATTGGTCCCAGCCCTGGAGCAGAAAGTGCCAAATAAAACAGACCTCCCCTTGGAAACAAAGCCCTCATCTTGGCGAGGTGAGTGACCTCTTCTCAGTGGGCAGGCTGGCTTCCTGCAAGGACGCCATTCACCTGAAGTGGACACAGCTTTCTCTCCCAAGGGACCATGTTCCTGGGCAGCGTGCAGGAAGGGCTGGGACTGAGGGGTTCCAAAGTGGGCATTTCCTGCTGGGCTTCCTTTAGCAGAGAGTGCCAGAAAGGATGAGCCCAAGTGTGGGATATGGGGCCAGGGAACCTTTTGGGATTGTTTCTCCTCCAAGAGGATTAAATGAAAGGAAAGCATGACTAAAGTGAAAATGACTGGGTGATTGCAGAGGTGACGTAAGTAGGTTGCTACTTCATGTACCCAAAAAGAAGGAAAATTTTTTTTTTCTAATTTAAAAGGTGGCAGTTCAGAGGAGCAAAACCTAGGGCTTGGGGGCAGGGGTAGGATTGGGGGTATAGACTTTAAACAAGCTAACCCTCACGGAAGGACCTAGGCCAGGCTTGGGGAACCCGTGGCCTCAAGGCCACAGTAGCCTAGACCAAAGAGGATATCTGGGCTTAAGACTGTTATTAGGAACCTTAGAGAGGGCTCTGGTCGTCTCCCTTCTGCCCACCCTACATTTTACAGATGGGCAAACTGAGGCCCCAACATGGCAGGTAAGACCTCTGTGGTCCCTTCCAACCCTTGAGATCCTCAGATGGTCCAGGGGCTTAGTGAACACAGAAGGCCTGGCAGCCCATATGCTGTAAGGAAGGTGTGTGAGGCTGTACCCACCATGCATTACTCAGTGACTTCCACTCCCCTAGACAGGTAGCAGGGGACCCAGAGACACACTTTTAAGTTTAACCTGTGTGATCGATGTTTTTTCCCTCACTTTCTTAAGTCTAGACAATCTAGAAGACAAGAAATGAAGCTTGGGTTTGTAGCATTGGCAGAGTTTTGAAGGGCTGATGCTCACATTGAAAATTCAGCAGTCGACTACTGAGAGCCGGTGTGAGCTGGCTCCAGCAAGCCCGGGGGATCAGTCTGAGCGTAGTTCACCATCTGTGCCATTGGGCTGGATGCAGAGACTACTGAGCTTGCTGCTCAGTCTCTTCTGGCTGAGTCGTCTATTAGCAGATCTTGGGAGAATACGACTATAATGAAAGTAATTGGCACTGACACAGTTTTACAGATATCTCATTTGATTCTCACAACAACCTTGGGAGGCAGGGGTTGTTAGCATCCTCATTTTACAGATGAGGAAACTGAGGCAGACAGGTTAAGTGACTTTCCCCGAGTCACACAGCCAGTAAGTCAGGTGGGATTTGAACTCAGGTTTTCCTGGGCTCCCAGACTCTATCCATGGAGCCCTCTTACTGCCTTTTTATAAATGAAGCTAAATGGGTCATGGAGAACAGTGCTGGGGGAGGGGGGTGATGATTGAAAAGGACCAAGTCAAATGGAAACAAAAGATGAGAGGAGTCAGGTCCTCTTGTCATTCCAAGTGCACAAAAAGAGAACATGCCTCCTATGGCGGCCTCTTCTTCCTCCTCCCCTTGGAAACCTTATTGGCGTGTGCAGGTGACCTTGGCTGGTGAAGGCTGCGTTAGTGGAAGAGGGTGGCCAGACCTGCCTGCCCAATCTGGAAGAGGCTTCTCATCAGAATGCTGATCCTGGGGGAGGGGGAGGAATTCTTTTGGACGTAGCAGCTCAAAAGAGTCATCTGCATCAGTGGAGGGAACAGGCCTACTGACAGATCCTGGAGCCTTGAAATAAAGTACAGTTAGGCTAGGTGGCCCAGTGGATAGAGCACTGGACCTGGAGTCAGGAAGACCTGAGTAATCCTGTACTTCCTAGCTGTGTGACCCTGGCCAGTCACTTAACTTCTGTCTGCCTCAGTTTCCTCGTCTGTAAAATGGCGATGATAACATCCCCTACCTCCCAGGGTGGCCGTGAAGCTCAGATGAGATACTCATAGAGTGTTTTACAAACCTTAAGGTGCTATGAAAATGCTAGCTGTTATTATTTGCAAAAAGTTGCCATCATTGGGGGTGGAGGAAAGCAGTATATTAGGATCACAGGTTTATCAAGCTAAAGCTGAAAGTGACCTTCGAGACCCCTCATTTTACACATGAGACAGCTGAGGCCCAGAGAGGCTGATGACTTACCCAGCAAAGATGATCCATTGATTTAGAGCTGGAAGGGCCCTTCAAGGCCGGGAGAGACCCCCAAGACTCGTTCAAGGACAGAGTCATCACTGTCAGAAGCAAGACTGGAACCTGGATCTTCTGATTTCAGAGCCAGGGTTCTTTTTCCTGGGCCATGCTGGGTCCTTAATGATGCAGTAACTCATTCAAATGCTGAGGGGGCTGCCACCTTGGGAGAGCCTGCCAGGAGAGTTACAAAACGACTTCTCTCCTGGCGCTGGCATTTTCCCCACCAAAGCCCTCCATACAGGGGGGGCTCATTGGAATGGGGGGCTGGGAACAACCTGGACTGGCAGGGTGGATCCTCTGCAGGTTCTCCAAACGGGGGCACACTTAGATGATATGGACTGGGGAAGGACCGTGCCCTCTCTGAGGGGTGGCTTAAGGAACTTTGGAGAAGCTTGGTAGCAGAAAGTCCAGGGGATCACAGATCTTGAGCTGGGAGGGCCTCGGAGGCCAGTAGCCCAGCCCCCTCATCTTTCAGGAGGTAGCTAAGTGGTGCAGTGGAGAAGACCTGAGTTTGAATTCTGCCTCTGACACTTCCTAGCTGTATGACCCTGGGCAAGTCATTGAACCTGTCTGCCTGTTCCCTCATTTGTAAAATGCAGGTAATAATGGCACTTAACTCACAGTGTTGTGATGACCAAATGAGATAATCCTTGTAAAATGATTTGCAAAATCATTTTAAAATGCCGGGTAAATACTTATTTTTTTTCTTTTGAAGCTTTTTAAAAATAATTAACAAATCTTCCTCCCCTCCCCCCCATTGAAGAAAAGAAAGATAAAACCTTGTAACAAATCAACATAATCAAATAAAAGAAATTCCTGCATTGGCCATGTCCACAAATGTTATGTTTCATTCTGGATCTTGAATCCGTCACCTCAGGAGATGGGTTGGTTATTAATACAGATGAGGAAACTGAGGCCAGGGCATTTTAAATGACCAGCCCAGCTAGCCCAAGGTCACTGTTAATCACTTAATTTTTTTAATTAAAAAAAAAATAAGCACAGGAATTAGTGAAACCCACAAGAGGGGTTGCCATGTGTGGAAGTAACAGGTAGGCCCACAGCAGTAAAATCATGGCTCTGCTGAATTGTCTTTGGTCAGTGAACTGTGCCCCCTTGGGTTCTCCATAGCTTAAAGAATGAGGAATTAGAACAGAACAGTAGATGTGGTGGAAGGAATGGGGAGGCCCAGGAGGTTAGGCCACTTTTCAGCTAGTAAATGGCAGTGTTAGGATTTGAACTCAGAGCCTCTGGTCCCAAATCCAGCCCACTTTGTACCCCTCCATCAGAACACGCTTCTTACCTGGATGGTGAGGAATGGGCAGAAGATACCTCAGGCCAAGGAGAACCTCCAGGCTCTAGCTACTTCCCTACCCCTCCCTAGGGCAGGCTAAGCAGAAGAGGATTGATAACCACCTGCTTGGGCGCACTGAGGCACAGACTTCTGGATGGGCCAGCTGACCCCTTTGGTTTCTTGCAAGGACTGGGGTTCAAGGCAGGGCCTTCACATTCTCTCCTGGTACCGATTTGGCTCGAGCAGCCGTCACATGAATTCTCTTACTTCCTTTTCCAGGCATCATTCATGCTCGAGGATTGGTCCGGGAATGCCTGGCAGAGACTGAGCGAAATGCAAGATCCTAGCCTCTCACTTCACTTCCAAAGTTTTCCATTTCTTTGTGAAGAAGAAAGAATTACACTTATTCCTCTGGTGACTTTCAAAACATTCATATGAATCCCTTCTTTTGAATGGTCTAAAAGTTTGGGTTCTTTCTCGTTTTCTTCCTCCCATCCCCACCACAGTCTGTAAGAATAGAAGAAAAGGCCATTTTGCAGTTAAGAGTTGCATTTTAAGTAGTTAGGAACAAGCTAGGTCACTTTTTTTTTTAAGCATTGAGTCCAGAAAATGCATGTAGAAAGTTCTGCTTATGTTACTGCCAACTGTAGTTCACTGCCCTGCTAACCTGCCCCGATCTTTGATTCGCTTCCTCTGATTACACTTAAAGCCACCCAGGTTGTCATTCTTTTGCACCTTTTCCAGAATCTCCAATAACTCTTAAGGATTTTTTCATGAGTCAATGCCAGCTGCATGTTCTCTTTGGCAGTTGGGTGTCTCCCAGTTAGGGTGATGTGATATAGAGACCCTCTTTAAAAGATAACATGGGTTTTTTTGGTTTGTTTTTGGTGTGTGAGCATTTGCATGATTGTTCGTGCTTTGGAGTCAATTTAAAATGCATGAGTTTATAAATACAGAGGACTGAGCAGTCTACTAAAAAATTAAGAACCCAGATAGTTACTTCTCAGACAACGACTGTAGATTTCAAGTCTTGAGTTTGCCATAGAATGATTAAAAAAAAATCTGGATAAATGACTAAAACTGTTACGTGCATCTTTGTATGTATTTATTACTTGATGTAATAAAGCTTATTTTCATTAACAATTTGTATCAAAATATACGTGTTTGCTTTCACTTTGGAGATGTTGGATAAAATGACAAATTGCCGGGTAGCAGGGCCAAAGTCAAGGAGTCAGAGCTCATTCAAACTAGGGACACTGAGGGATGTGCTGATTAATGTAGCTTCAAAAGCCTTTTGGGCAGAGGTGGAAACAGACAACAGGCTTATAGTGAAAGAATGATCTGAATGTTGATTTGCATCAGTTAAAAATGAGAGATGGGGTCAGGTTGGCAGGAAGGAGAGGAGGGGAAGATGCAGCCTCTCCTGACTTTATTACGTTGATTCCCCAAATACAAGTAGGACGGGACCTCGGGAGTGGGCTTTCTCAGCTCCTTTCTACAGGGATGGGGAGGGGGTCACATATACTGAAAAGCTTGGGCAGGGACAGAATGGAGAAGCAGCTCTAATAACCCTCACTGAAAGGTGGCAAGTTTTGAAAATTTCACTGTTTTGTTTTGACACACGGTACGAACCCAGCAAACTCAAGCTAATTCTGAAAAGTTAAAACAGCCTAAGAGCCGTGCCAGCCAATGGTATGTCAGCCTGGTACTTTGGGAGCTTACCATTAGACTGGTCATAAATCAGTACCCACGATGCCCAACGTTTTTGATGCACCCTGGATTTTCAGGTCTGGGAAGGGACGTGGCAGGAATGTTTAGTTCAGCTCGTCCCCAAGTCTTGTGCAGTTCACAGTGTCCGTTTCTGGGGTTGGTGTCTAGCATTTCTTTTCCCCCCTGCCTTACTTTACACAAGTATTTCCGCATTCTTCCTATCTGTTGTTCCTTACAGCACTATAATATTCTCTCATACTCAGATACCATGATTTGTCTGGTCATTCTCCCATTGTGAGGCACATTTTGATTCCAACTTTTTGCTGTTACAGATAGCGCTGCCGTAGGGGGCAGCTAGGTGGCGCAGTGGATAGAGCACCGGCCCTGAAGTCAGGAGGACCTGAGTTCAAATCCAGCCTCAGACCAGACACTTGACACTATCTGTGTGACCCTGGGCAAGTCACTTAACCCCAACTGCCTAACAAAAACAAAAAAACAAATAGGGCTGCCGTGAATATTTTTGTACACATGGTTTTTATCTGGCGTCAGGAGCTTCCTTGGGAGTATACATTCAGTAGTGAGACTACCGGGTTACAAGGTGGTAGGAACAATTTTGTAAATATTTCTTGCATAATTCCAAATTGTTTTTCAAAATGGTTGGACCAAATCACAGCCCCACCCATTGTGAATTGTTGTGCCTTGTTTCCCACACCCTGCCAACAGTAAATTTTTCCTTCTTTTACCATCTTTGATGATTTAGGTATAAGGTGATGAAGTGGTGAGTCTTTAAAAAAAATTAAATTTAGCTGTTACAGGAAGAAATCAATTATGGTATGAACTCTGGAAGTTATAATAAGTAATTATTCAAAATATTATTTTGACCCTAACCCCAAAAAAGACAGGGAACATTTCCATATACAAGGCAGAACAGAGAGGACAGATTGAGTGACACATGACTCTTATAAATTGTTGAATTGAATTGAGTTTGGTTACAGACCTAAACTTAACATCCAGCATGTGACTCATCTCAGCGAGGGGAGCTGCTTGGTCTGCTGATTAAAGTAACAGATTCAATAAAACAAACCTTTGTGTTATGATTGTCCCGCAGATGTCATTCTCTGGACAAAAAGATTCTCTTCTTCTCCGTCTCCCTTTGGGCACTAATCACAAGCGTGTGCTAACAGGCCAAGCCCCTAACCTTGCCTAAAGCGTAAGTATGAGGTGAGTGCCTCTCTTACTGGATAATCCATGTGGAGGGAGAAGAAACAGATGCAGAGCATGGCTGTGAGCACATAGGTCCCAGGGCCATAATTTCATGAGTGTGGACTGAGCAGGCAGCTATACCCCTTTGGGAATCAGAGAAGGTACTTGGCAAGGTGGGACAGTTTTCCATCCTGCTTGTCCTTCATCAGCTAAGAGAGTAAGTAAATGGGCAAGCGACACATGAGTTCTCCAAATCTCTCCTTATCTCTCCTCCACCTCCTTCTCATAACTTGGCAGAGAGGTGACTGGGGACTCCTCCCCATCATCAACATGCAGACCCTGTGCCCCGGCTCAGAACAAATGGGGCTTGGGAGCGTTTCCACAAACGTTTAGTGGAAGCCACAAGGAGGGTGCTGGCAGTGGAGGCAGCCATCATGCCTCATGGTCAAGCGTTGCCCCTGCCCCCCACCCCTGGCGGCATCACTCCTCCCTTGGCAATGGGGCCTCCGGCCTCGACTCCTTTAACATTAACTCCTTTAACAGTCTCTTCTTCTCCAGGGTTTCCTTTGCTTTTTTTTTCCTTTCTCTCTTCTTTTTCTCTGCCTCCTTTTTGACTTTGTGAATGTGACTGTCTTCTCCTCTGTAGAAGAGATCCACTTTCCCTTGCAGAATCTCTCTTGCCAGCTTGCGATTTTGATCAACTGATCTTGTCTGATGGCACTGGGAAAACATAACAGCATTTTGTTAAGCAGTTGTGGTATAGCCCCAGAGACAAGGGTCCTTACACTTCATTGAGCCTGAGCTCATCTTACAAATGGAGAGACTAAGGCCCAGAAAGGAAGCTGGCTTCCCCAGCAGTCTACACTGAGATGGGGCCAGAACAGGCACAGGAGCCTGGAGCTCTTGTCGGCCCGTCACAGAATCTGGTGAACTTCTTAACTCAACTGGTTGAGTCAGTTTAGGGGCTGAGATTAGCTGGGGCCTTGGGCTCCCCATCTGCCCTCCTAACAGATCCAGTCATTTGGAGAGTTTGGCCTGACCGAGCACACAAATGCAGGTGTGAAAGACTGAGTCAAACAAAGGGCCTCCCCATCCGCCATGAATCAGCTCTGGGCAGTCGCTGCTTGCTGGGCAGCAGCCAAGCACAAGGGATGTGGGCTGAGTTTAATGGTGAAGGGCCTCTGTTGTTCGGGGCTCACTTGTCTTACTTAGCAGCCCCTTACATGGAATGTGCTGCAGCGCCCTCTAGTGGCAGATGGCATGGAACACCCCGCTTGGAGCACAGCCCTTAGGCCAAGGAACGGATGCCTGCAGGGCCAGTCCAATCCATCAAAAGCGGGCTTCAGGGCACAGACATTCAGACAGCTTCTCCACATCTCCCACAAGAACAGGAAGACAGCCTTGCCTCATCTGACAGGATTACAAGCCACTTTTTAAGGTATAGTTCTGGCCAAGCAGGTGCTAGGGCAGGGGAGGGTTCCCTTACCTTGACCACAATGCCAGACGGGATGTGCTTCAGCACCACACAATTGTTGGTCTTGTTGGTGGCCTGGCCGCCAGGACCGTGGCCCTTCACAAACTGCTCTTCCAAGTCGGTTTCGTTCAGAGGAAGGAGGCCGTGGGAAACTGTCTTGCCCGCCACCTGGGGCCCAAAAGCTCCTGCCCTGGGGAATAAAAATGAAGGCTTCTTCCACAGCCAGAGCCTCCATAGCCCTGCACTGAAGCTGCCCAGTGAGACTGGAAGGTGAGTGAAGCCCAAAGTGTTCATAAAAGAGTCTGCAAGAGAAAAGAAAGGAGTGGGACATCCGGCTTGCAAAAGACAAACGCACACCCCACTACAGAAACCTCAGGCTCACAGTAATGGGGATACTCAGCTTATAAACAGATGACATTTCTCTTTTCTTAAATTAAAAAATTAAATGCTTTATTAGAAATTCAACAATAGCAGCCACCAGTGTTTACATAGGACTTTTAAAGTGTTCAAAAACACCTTGCATAGGCTATCTCATTTCACCTTCACAACAGTGTGAACTAGGGGCTGGTATTTCCATTCTATAGATAAGGAAATTTCGGTTGAAGTGATTGAGGCAGGATTTGAACTCAGTTTTTCCTGACTTCAAGTCCAGTGAGATAGCCACTCTACTACCAAGCATATACACAATCAACATGAACTTGCTTAATAAGGATATTTACATTTAAAAAAAATTTTCTTTTTGAAATCTGTTGTTTTTACTTCACCTTCATTTCCAAATATTTCTTTTCCCTCACCAGAGGTCACTGTAACAAAGAACAGAGAAGAGAGAAAAGGGGGGAGGGGAGCAGTTCAACCAAAGCAATAATCAGATGAGTTCTGACAATAAGCATACCCACTGTTCTACCCCCAGGAGATGGGGCCAGTAAACGTCTGAGGCCAGGTGGACTTCCTCCCAGACCACCTAGGCTTCCTAACTCCAAGTCTTTATACCAGACCATCTGGCTTCCCTTTTTGTATTCAACAAAGAAGCACCAGTTCCTTCTGAGGATGATGGGATAAGTAACAGTGGGGCTTGATCAGAGACGTCAAGGGGCGTTAAGGCTGCCTACCTTCTCAGAACTTTCCCAGCCTGTTCTTAACCTGTAAAGCTGCCTGCTGCAGAAGATGAAAAACTGGGATGAGGATTTCCTTAGCATGGAACCAAAAGCACTCCTGCCGGGACTCAGATTAGATGGGGAACTTGGTGGGCGCAGGGTCTGTGCTGCAGGCTACACTTGTAACCACAGCGCCTCCACAGAAGGAACTTAATGCTTATCGGACTGGAGAGTCAACTCTGAAACGTCAAAGAAACGAAGCACTGGAATGTAAAAAATAAGAATGCAACTTTTTACCTCAGATACACAAATGTCCCGAGTACTATGTGTGCTCCTTAAGCATGGGACTGAAACCTTGGTGGGCTGCGCAAGCCAGAACACTGCCCTGCTCCAGATGGAGCGACTCTGGTTTACTCTGTAGCTAACATCTTTGTCAATGGCTGACAATCACCTAACCATTACTTTTTAATCCTGCTGGCATACTGTCAGGGGTATTAACTTAAATCAACACATATTTACTAAGCAGCCACTATGTGCAAAACCCTAAGCTAGACTTCCTCTACTCGCACAGAGTCCACACTTCTAAGAAAAGATACAACCTGTGCATGCCCTCATAGAACTTACAGTCTATTTGGGGATACATACACATGTAATTAGGTTTCTATTTATACACACACATTCATATAGAAACACAATATAATACATTATTTTTAAAATAATAAGTTTTATTTCTATCTGGGGAAGGGAACTCACAGAGGCCCATATGTCCCTATTTTCCTGCTTGCAGCCATCACTGAGGAACACAACTGCTGTAGAGAAAGAGGCCTACTTTTCTTGGTACTACCAACTGCTAACCAACAATCACTGATTGGTAGCTAGACCTAAGATCCCTGGGAATGGCAGCGTTCCCCAGACCAATGGTCTGCTTGTAAGTGGCATTATAAGTGGCCTTAGAGATGGCATTAAAGAAGCATTTGCTTTGCCCTCGGTACCCTAAAGACCATCGGGCCTTTTTCATCTGACTCTGCTTCATTAGAAGGTGAACTCCTAAAGGCGAGCAGCTGTCTTGCTTTTCTATGTTTTTTTTCATTTTGATGAGGCAATTGGGGTTAAGTGACTTGCCCAGGGTCACACAGCTAGTAAGTATCAAGTATCTGAGGCTGGATTTGAACTCAGGTCCTCCTGACTCCAAGGCCAGAGCTCTATCCACTGCACCACCTAGCTGCCCCATTGCCTTTCTATTTCTCAATACTTCTTCACTCTTTCATTCATTCATCTTTCCTATTTATATTACCTTTATTTCCAAATATACCCCACCCCACTTAACCATCCTTTGTAATGAAAAATTTAAGAAGGGGAAAAACCAGTTCACCAAGTGGGACAGTATTTGCCATGTTCTACACTCAGTCTCTCTGCCTCCCTCCATTAGACTGTAAGCTGCTTGAGGGCAAGGACTGACTGCCTTAGCTCTTTTTGTATCCCCAGTGCTTAGCACGTGCCTGGTACACAGTAGGTGCTTAATGAATGGTTACTGATTGATAGTCTCCACCTTTACCGAGAAGGGAGGCAGGTGCAGTTTCTCATTTCTTATCTGGAGACAAACTTGGTTATTATAATTACAGAATTCAGGGTGGTGGTTGTTCTTACATTTACAACAATAAATGATTTAAATGGCAGTTAGAATGGCAGAAACTAGGAATAGACCCAAATCTCACACCATATACCAAAATAAAGTCAAAATAGGTTCATGACTTAGATATAAAGGCTGATACCATAAGTAAACTGGGAGAACAAGGAATAGTTTACCTATCAGATCTATGGAGAACAGAAGAATTCATGACCAAACAGGAGATAGAGAACATTATGAAAAGCAAAATGGATAATTTTGATTACATTAAATTGAAAAGTTTTTGCACAAACAAAGCCAATGCAACTAAGATTAGAAGGAAGGTAGAAAATTGGGAAAGAATTTTTACAACCAGTCTCTCTGATAAAGGCCTCATTTCTAAAATATATAGAGAATTAAGACAAATTTATAAGAACACAAGCCATTCCCCAATTGATAAATGGTCAAAGGACATGAACAGACAGTTCTCAGATGAAGAAATTAAAGCCATCTATAGTCATATGAAAAAATGCTCTAAATTGTTATTGATTAGAGAAATGCAAATCAAAACAACTCTGAGGTACCACATCACACCTATCAGATTGGCCAACATGACAAAACAGGAAAATGATAAATGTTGGAGAAGATGTGGGAAAATTGGAACACTAATACATTGTTGGTGGAGTTTGAAATGATCCAACCATTTTGGAGAACAATTTGGAACTATGCCCAAAGGGCTACAAAAATGTGCATACCCTTTGATCCAGCAATAGCACTTCTAGGGCTATATCCCAAAGAGATCAAACAAATGGGAAAAGGACCCACATGTACAAAAATATTCATAGCAGCTCTTTTTGTGGTGGCAAAGAATTGGAAATTGAGAGGATGCCCATCAATTGGGGAATGGCTGAGCAAGTTGTGGTATATGAATGTAATGGAATACTATTGTGCTATAAGAAATGATGAACAGGCTGACTTCAGAAAAACCTGGAAAGACTTGTATGGTCTGATGCTGAGTGAAGTGAGCAGAACCAAGAGGACTTTGTACACAATAACAGCCACGTTATGCAATGACTAAGATTGTTAAACTGAACCCTTCTCAGCATTACAAGGATCTAAGACATCTCTAGAGGCCTCGGGATGGAAAATGCTGTCCACATCCAAAGAAAAAACTATGGAAGTTGAATCGCTCTCACTTATTTTTACCTTCTGTTGAGTTTTGTTTCATCTTTCTGATGATTCCTCCTATTGGTTTTAATTTTTACTTGCAACTTCACTAATGTGAAAATGTTTAATGGGTATGTAAATGTAAAGCCTATATCAGATTGTGCGCCTTCTTGGGGAGGGTGGGGGGGGAGGAAGGGGGAGAAAAATTTTCAACTCAAAAGCATATGGAAGTGATTGTTGATAAATCAAAATAAATTAATTTTTTAAAAATGGCAGTTAGAGCCAACAGAAAAGCTGCTGGGCTACTCTTTGGGCAGTGACTCAGGGGTGAAGAGGATAGAGCTGGCAGTAATATGAGGTTCATAGATATGCAATCACCCCATGGGCCTCTCCCAAGCTCACCAGAGGCAGAGAATAGTAAAAGGGGCAGGCCCTTAATAAAAGGATTTGTTCTGTAAAACTTGGACTCAGTCAAAAGGCCGTACCCAACGACCTACAAGGTCACATGTGGCCTTGAAGCCAAAGGTTCTCCACCCTGGGTTAGGTTTTCTCTCCCCATTCAAGGCTTTCCTTATGGTCTCTTTGTATCAGAATGGTGGATCTCCACAAAGTCCCCTCCTAATTCCTCCTCCTGGTATAGAGATGACCCCAGGTCCTAGAAGACTAGGTCAGTGAAGTATGAGCTCTGATAGCTCCTTTGTTCTGGGAAGGTTCTGAGTGTGGTTCTAGCCACTGGGAGATTCCTGAGAACCAACCTGAGTTCACAGGCTAAAACATCAACAATCCACTAGCCATGTGGATGCTGCCATGGAGACCCAGGAAACCAAGGAAATATCCAGTGTCTCCCTCATCCCATGTCCTCGTGATAGCGGCTGAAGAAGCTCAGAGGTGGTCAGAGCAGGATCATAAATGGCAATCAGGCGCTTAGTCCCAATGAGGGGATGGAGTTCATCTTGTCTAAGTAACCAGCACGCGGATCACGGCAAGGCTCGAATGGTAACAATCTTGACTAAGTTGCAGCTTAATAGAAGAATGGCTTGGAGGTTCTCCTTGGGAGAAACAAATGAAACAAATGTTTCTGTGCCTCCAACGGTAACAAGAAACATCGTTTCATGGGACATTTGATTGTCTCATGCCACAGTCAGTTAGCCAACCAAGATTTTATTAAATGTCTACTAGGTGGCACAGCGAAAAAGCGCTGGGCCAGGAGTCAGGAAGACCCGAGTTCAAACCGGGCCTCAGACACTTCCTAGCTTGGGTAATTCACTTAACCTTGTTTGCCTCAGTTTCCTCATCTGCAAAATAGGCTGGAAAAGGAAGAAACCATTCCAGCATGAGTCCGACATGGTTGAAAATGACTAAAAAAACCACAACAGAGTGCCAGGAATTGTGCTAAGCACTGAGGATGCAAAGAAAGGCCAAAAAAAAAAGTCTT